AAGCAGAGGAGTAAAACCCTTGTGCCTTTCCCACCATCTTGGAACTCAGTTTTGGCCCCAGCGTCAGGGGATTGTCGATCATGCTGATCAACCCAAAAAGAGTTGACGAATTGGACAACTGGGATTGAACTGGGGTTGCGGCCGCTGACTATGTCGTGCCAGTAGAGACGGAAGTGACTGAGTTTTTCTTTCTTCGCACCTCATAGCTTCCTGTCCATGCTTCTAACAAAGGTATCAGCATGCCCTATGGCTAAATTTATGGTGAAGAAAGAGAGGATGAAGAAGATAGTGACTTGGGTAGCCAAAATTGGGAAGATTCTAGCCATGGAAGGACTTAGGAAGGAACTCTAGCTAACACATCTGTAGCGCACAAAACTGTATTTCTTCAGTTATATTAGGAAAATGGGATGAAGAGAAACTTTCTAGAAGTGTAGGGATGACAACGGATCTCAACGGCACAGAGACTTTCTCCCCATCCCCATCCCAAGGGTGGGGATGGAGATACCCACTGAGATTTTTGATTGGGAATGATAAGTCCTGCGGATATAGAGAGTCCTCGTTAAATTTTAAATATATAAAATTTAACATTTTATTTTTTTATAAATTAAAAAAATAAAAATTTAAGACAACTCAAATAAATAAATACATTACACATATAGTCCGACAAATCAATGTTCAGTTGCATCAAGCAAATATATATTGCCATACATGCCTAGCACTTCAACTCCAGTAGCATGTTCATAGGGGAAAAAAAAGGCATAAATTGCAACCTGCAATTGGCAATTGGCAATTGTTTGTGAACTTGCAATTGCAATTGTAATTTGCAATTTACAGTTACTTACTGTATTGAATTGGGTTTGAGAAGATTGGACAAGGATTTGGGCTGGGCCTTGATAATTTAAAGTGAGTTGAGTTAATCAATTGAATTAAGTTGTTAAAAATTAATTGGTAATATATTTACAAATATTTATATAAATTTATATTTTTTTATTATATATGCATCCTTACGGTCCCCATAAAGTGGAAGAAATTCTTCACCAAATTCTACAAAAAAAAAAAAAACCTTCATCCCTGCATCACGAGAAGAAAGATTCTTGAAATCTTCATCCCCACGGCGACAATCCTCGCAAAACTCCATGGGTTTAAGAGGAAATTACCATCCCTATAAAAGTGCACTGGTTTTTCAGTAAGGCCATCAAAATGACCAAAATCATGGAATGGTTGTTGGCATGGAATAAACTAGTCAATCCTGCGTAGTGCATATATTATTTTCAATATATTTTTTGAAACTTTAATCGAAAATTCATGATAATGTTGGAAGACGCGATTGCCGTGCTTGGGAACTTTATTGGTCTTTGTTTGATTGGTGGAGTATTAGATGCTTTAATTATAGTAGTAGTTTAAATTTTAAACGTTGTACATGGACATAATTGGTCTTGATATATACGTATAACAAACTCATTTAATCAGAAATTCAAAATCTTATCTTACAAATAACGTTTCATAATAAGTATAAACTATTAAATGACTGAATATATAGTGATTCATGCTAATTATTAAAAAAGTACATTACAATTATGTTACATAAGATCATTATACAGTGCAGCCCATCTATTTTTGAAGTGTGATTACTCTTACAAAGTTTGAATGGACTGTTTCCAAGTGGTGGGGTGTGCTTTTTATATACCCTGATTCAATCCATGACTTGTGTCTACAATTTGTCTATGGAATGTTCAACAAAATAAATATTGAAGTAGGATCCCTAAATTTTGGTGGAGTGTTATGGGCTATCTGGATGACGAAGAATGGAATCATTTTTAGAGAAGAACAGATGGATGAGGTAGAGACGTAGAGTATTTGGTTTCATACAAGTCAAGTCGTTTGTGTGGCTGAAAGGATAAACCATAAAGAAGAGAGTTTAGCCTTTTCATTTAGTAATTGGGTCCAGTTCCTTTATTTGTATTTTGAAAGGCATAGGATTTAATATTCATAGAGAGTGATAGTGTTTGATAGTTTGTATAAAGAATATCCATATAAAGAATCAAAGTATTTTTTGTATCTCTTTCATAAATTTATTTTGCAGATCGATGCAAAAATATAAGATTATTATAATTAAAGGAACCTACACCGATTAGCTAAAAAATAATTAGTAGGCATTCTATAAACAAATATTCACTTTTATGTTAAATGTTTATATCATATTCAAAAGTTCACTTACTTTCTAATTACATATAAATTATTTCTCATAAAAAAATGTCATAATATTGTAAATGTTAGTTAGTATAATCATACTGTAGTCAGTGAACCTAATATTTTATTAGAAGTTGTTTAATGTTGTTGAAGGGATAAAAGTAAAATCATGAGTATACCCCTGTCTGGCGGGGAAATGTGATCACTTTCCAGTTCCCAGCTCTGCAAAAATTTGTCAAATGAGGCTTGAGAAAGAAGGAAAATAGAGCTCATGACTTCATGCTACATGGTTTTCACTCCTATTTTGTTTAGGAAAAAAATTAAAATATTTAGAAGATGTTTTTGTTTTAATTTTTTCACTAGTTATTAATTTAATAAATTATAAGATTATACTGTATCTTTCACTTTGATTTGAGAAGAAAAAGACGGGGACTACCGAACTAGAACGAATAGTTATGAGATTAAAATATTGTACTTTGTTAAAAGAGGATCCACTTGTTCTCTGGAGAGTGTCTTTGTCATCTAGAGCCGAAACACCACTTCATGTTGCTTCACTTGCCGACCATGTTGGTTTTGTGAGAAAGATCATGGAGCTGGTGCCTTCATTTGCGCAAGAGCCTAACACAGATGGTTTTGCCCCAATTCACCTGGCGACAGCTGCAGGGCACTTACAAGTAGTGAGGGAGCTTTTAAACAAGGGGGATTTTGACCTGTGTTTGTTGAAGGACAAAGCAGGGAGAACGCCACTCCAGCATGCAGCCATGAAAGGGAGGATCCATACCATAGATGAGTTGCTATCAAAGTGTCCTCATCAAAAAGCCATGGAGCAAGTGACTCCCAACGGTGAAACTGTTCTACACTTGGCAGTGAAGAACAGTCAATTTGAAGCATTCAAAGTACTGTTTGAAATATCAAAAAAGCTAGAGGATTATGAGGGGCGAGTAAATGCAAAAGATAAGGAAGGTAAAACCGTCTTTGAGATTGCAAATGCAAATGCATCAAATCATGTTCAGGTTTATATCATTAATTTGCTGCAGTACTCTCTTTGTTAATTCAGTTATTAATTTCTTCAGTGCAATTAATTTCCATTTTTTGGTTATTGCCATGCATATTGAATTCAAAGAATGATAGGAGTAAATTGATGAATTGTGGTGAAGATTTTTAATCAGTTCATAGGAAGATTACTTTAGATTTTGTTTAGTTTGCATATTAATTTTAATTAAAAAAAATTAGCCACATTCGTTCATCACCATTATAAGTTGTAGATGTGATTTTTTAATAATATATTAAGCCATCTCTAAAATATAAATTTTCTAATACTTTTCATTTAGATATATTTTTTTACAATTTTCTGACATGAAAGGAAATTAATTTAAGCAACGCTACTAATATGGCAGCTTACACAAAAAATGTGACACCATTGCAGGTGTTAGATTTCTTAAAACACCCAGAAAAAAAAGAATATCCTTTCAAATCCTTATAAGGAGAGTTGGAGTATGTACTCACAGGATGAAAACTTTGCTACCCGTTGTCGCCACAATGATAGCAGCGGTAACGTTCCAAGCCGGGTTGAATCCTCCCTCATCTATCTGGGAAAAAGGAGTCCATCTTGATAACAAATGCATTATACCTACTCTAAATTACCGACATGCG